AAGATGACCTTAGTTGTTTCATTTAAATAATCATTAAATAATGAGATAAAAGTTTGAAGTAAAGTGTAAACATTTAATATATGTTAAATTAAAAATGGATGCCAAGAACACGATGAAATTATGAAAATTAAATGGTTTCTTAAAAGATTGATTAAATTGTAATCCTAGGTGTTTTATAATGGATAATTGAATTGTAGGATAGTAAGCAAATTAGAAACTTATATTTATATTGTACTGAATAACTTTAAATCATTCATTGTTTACATTTTTGGAGGTCATGAAAGTTTCCGGTAATTAAAGGTCAGAAGTAGTTCTAAAATGCTTTTGTTATAGCCTGAATTTATTTACTATTTGCTGACAATTCATGGATGTTATACGTCCATTGTAAAACTTTTTGATAAAATTTCATCGGAACTAGTCTTGATGTTTTGAATCCTAGTTCACAAGTTTAATTAGTATTTTGGGTATTAATCAGTTTCAACTCAGTAATGAGTTTTAAATAGTAGATGTTGTTTGGAGTAAACAATTTAGTTCTCCATTTTTTATATATGCGCATAAATATGACTTTATATTAAAATAAAGTCTAATGAAGATCAACCTGAAAGCTAAACTATAAATATGACGTCTTCATCTAACTTATACCATTGAAATTTTTAGTATTTTGAGTATCATACAATAAACGTTATTTTTGGAAATTATTAACCTGATATTTATTGTATATCCCTTTATAACAAATCAATGCATTTGCCTACAGGATATCTCTACAGGTGAATATTGTTGAAAACTTATCACCTAATCATAACAAAAAATTCATTGCACTTGGTATTCTTTTGATAAAATATATTGTCTCATTTAGAGCAAACTGGTTCAAGGCTGGTGAAATAACTAAGAAGATAACTTCTAGGTAAAGTAAGAGCTATTAATGTTGTCCAGAACAAAAAAGAAGGCTCTACAATCAAACCATCTAGCTCAGAATATTGAACAACATTGAAATCTGAAATATAAAGTGACATTACTGTGATACTTGAATAGGTTACTGATTTATGTATTAGTAACTTTCGAGACGTAAAGTGGTGGTTGGAGGTAGTTGGAAAGAAACCCTAGACCTAGGTTTCGTGTTATTTGATGTTCATCAACAAAGTGGACTTGTAATCTTGAGGATACTGATGCTCTCTAATGGATCTGATACCGTGTCATCCAACTTCACAATCAGAGACGTTACCATGATCGTTAGAATTCGATCGGCAATAAAATGGACTTTATCTATATGACATGTAGCACTGCTCAGTGAACAATCAATTGTAAATGAGTGTCATTCCTTAATGTAAATATATAGAGTCTTGTGTTAATAAAATAGTAAGTTTTGAAAAATATTCTGCTATACAGTATTCGTCTTTTCTTATAGGTTTAGCAGAATAACTTGTATAAATATGATGATATCTATACATGGGATCTTAGATAATTGATCATACAATTCAGTCATTACATTAGACAAGTATAGTATTTAGATAAAATTTGACAGATGCTCACATTCATTGTTTTGTATCATAAAATACTAGACAGATGGTAAAATATTATTTACTCTGATTCCCAATCATTATTGTCTCTCATTTGGTTACTTGAAAGTCTCAATAGTTTTATTCGAATAGGATTTAAGCACCCATTACACTTTAAACCCTAATGCTAAGACGATTTTGTTTGTATTACTGCTAACAGATACTTTTTTACTTTAAGATTTATTAGTTTTTTGCTTATTTAGATTTTCTTATCCATTCATTACATAATTTTAACTACGAGTATTATTAAATATTCTCACTAAATAATTCGTTTCATGAACATATGGCTCTTAAATATTGTCCTCCTTGATCATATCTGAAACCGAAAATCTTTGTAAAACACAAAATAGACTGTCTCATAATTAGTAATTTTATTTCATAGAACAAATAAACCAAACTTCAAATTTTTAAATGATTTGTAATTCAAACAAACTGAGAACAATATTCTTGGGTGATCGGAGGCAATCCTCAAGAAGTTTAGCATCGAAACATAGTATGTGAAATGTTAAGTAACTTAAGCTTGTGTCCACTTCGATAGAACTTAATCAGCCCAAAGAAAAGACAAAACATCACATTGAATAAAACATAACATTCAACTAATAGAAGAACGGCAATCAATCAGCCAGTCAGCTACAACGTGGGACCAGGCACATATATGCATCGGTTCAAGTTGCCATACATCACTAGCATAACAAAATGAACATCAAATTCATAAAAGCAGTTACTTCAATGGTAGTAAAAAATTTCATATAAGGATATGATACAGGAAGTAAGAATAAGTTCGTAGAAATTAACTGTAATCTCACAGTTTAGCGGAAGATAAAGAGTGTATACACCGACGCCATTGTGATCGATTTTGAGCCATGTCACACAGTCACAATTGATTGATCACTGGGTGCTGATCAATCTCATGCGTGTCAGGTTCTTAGTGCTGATCGAATGCTATCGATCAAGTTGCAATGTGGCCACCAGTCTAGGTGGCTCGACACTGCGGGCACTATATATATTAAGGTAACATGGTGGTTGGAGGTGGTCAACAGGAAACCCTGGACCCGGGTTTCGTGCTACTTGGCACTCGTCAGCAAGGACTGAGATGTAATCACAATTGATTGATCTCAGTCCTACAGGAGGTCGGTCGCGGCCCGAATAGCTCAGTGGTAACGTCTCTGACTGTGAAGCTGAGTGACGCGGGATCGAATCCGCCAGGGAGCATCAGTTCCCTCAAGATTACAGGTACACCTTGCTGACGAGTGCCAAGTAGCACGAAACCCGGGTCCAGGGTTTCCTGTTGACCACCTCCAACCACCATGTTACCTTAACATGTCACACAGTCTCCAACCATTGGTTACGATAGTCACGCGGACCACAACCAAGTAGTCTGCATCCACCAACATGGCTCAGATCAGAAGTTGGTGACTTTATGGACTGATGCCATGTCTGGGTTTGGCCACCTCTAACTTTCTTCGATCCGTCTCCAACACTAGTCAACATTGCGCGTCGTGGTAATCGGTGGTTTGGCATGCGTAATACGTGACTTAACCATCTCAGTCGATGTAGATCCACAACCTCACCAACTGATTTACAATCATTTACTAATACCAATACGTCTAACCTCACTATTGCTTACTCGATAATCCCATCAGATGCGAGCAATATTTCTAATACATCTGTGACTTACGAGGACAACATTGGTCTCAGTTTAAAATAAATTCACTGTTTCTTTGCTTTTTCATTTGATGCACACAATCTAATAAGAACAAAATTTCATTAAATATTAATGTATTTAGCAATTGCGTAGTTAACTGTTCATTAGTGTGCAACAGAATGTATGGAAAACGTAGTTGTAAACGAGTTTGAATTTAGCGTATACGTCACTGAAGAAGCAACGAAATACAATCAACATATGTAATCCGTAAACATCATCCCTCGTGATTTGCTGAAAATGTTTTCAGAAGAATCGACTGCGCTTAAATTCTCATTGTTTTATACTATTTGTACCTATTAGGGTTATATAATTACATGTGAGAAATAACATTTCAGTATGATAATTCATGAGACATGAAACAAATCCTACTAATTTTAATTTATGGTTTTTACGTGAACCATAATAAAACCAAAATTAATCGGTGGGACAAAAGAATTATTACAATAATAGTGCATGTATATATATATCAGTGTATTCATTTTAACTGTTTAGATAATCTTGTAAAGTCAGAAAGCACAACAGGGGAAATTTAATTTGAACAAATTTTTGAACAAACTTGTTTTCTATTAACTGAAACTTTGATAATTTGATGTAATAACTACTTAGTATGGGTTTTAATAAAACTTTCAGCGAAATCATGAAACGATCAACATTAGATTCGTCAACAGTGCTCACCCACGATCACTTATGCGAGAATTGAACCCAAGAGCTTCACTCTCGCGTGAACGATTGACCTCTAGACCACTAAGCCGTGATCCGGTGGCGTTAATGTCTAACTTCAATCAATCCACGATATTGCGCGACTATCTTGCATTGTCCTTGGTGGATAAATGCCTCACACTTGACACAGTTGAATTCACTGCCCACGGCTTCTCACTGAAACTCTGAGAACTATCCCTCGAAACTAGTCACTCATGAGTCCATGATAATTTTCACCACAGCTGCTTTCAGATTCTCAATGGTGGTCTAACATTGATCGGTTCACGATCTCAATGAAATTTAACCATCTCCACAAACCCATACTGAAGATAGTATGTATAAAATTATTGAATGAAATAAACCTTGAAATATCCCAACTACATCTTTCGCTTTTTATATATTTGTCATGTTTAACGAGTTATTTATGTGAACACAAATTAAAATACCAAAAACTTTTATTTGATACTGTATATAACATATAATCTGAATTAATGCATCTCCAGTCCTACTGTTTATCTTTATTCATTAGTAGTCAAGTCTCACGGCATCATATAAACATAAATATTATGTCACATGCTAACTTTGAAATATATATATATATATATATATATATATATATATATATATATATATATATAGTCTATCTACCAAAAAATGTAAACTTTCAGATGGGTGGAGGAAATAAAGGACGAAAATAAAGAATATTTTTGAAAAATCTTATTTATCTTTAAAGAAATCAAAGGATTCAATAATGAAACTTGATAAATAATCGAGACAAAAACAACTAATATTTACAAGAAAATTAGACTTGTAGGGTATGATAAGGCGATGAAAGAATGAGAGATTGCACATGTTGCTTGGATATGCAGGGTTCGAACCTGAACTGATGTCTCTGCAGCGTATACTATTTTCATTCATTCTTCCTAACTTACAACTTACATTTATGTTAATTATGTTACATTTTGATTTGATCATAGTCTCCTTTAATTAAACTATACATTTATCATTATTTCTTGAAATCAAACACTTGACGAGACCATCTAGTATATTTTTATAAAACATACATGAAAAATTAATCAATAAATGATGATAATTGTATTCAAATATATTGATGATTGGTTAAATTAGTTTGATCGCATTCACAAACAGATCTATGGACTTTCAAGCAAACGTATTTTCCGTGGAGTATGATGATCTTAAATTCTATTGGTAAATAAGTGTTTAGTTCATGAGATTTGTATAGTGCCGAAACAAAATACTACAATTCAATGTAACTGCTCTTTGTTGAATACTGTTCCTCTATTATCAGTTTACTGTAAAAAGTAGTCAAATAGAGTAAGTGATATGTACTTTTCATAATTTTTGTTGAATATATTAATTTAAACTTTGTTTTACTGGTATTTATTTATTTATTTATTTATTATACAGTTGGTGAAAAGCAGAAGGTTAAATGGAACAATTGAATTTCCTTTGGCGGATAAATTTTCAAGATTCACTTTTAGAACTACAATTTTGTATTTAGCCTCTAGGGAAAATGAACCTGGTTTAATGATTGAAGCTGGGTCTGAGACAAAATATGTACTGTGCGTTCAATCAATTAAATGTCCAGAACCAATCACGACGACTACCACGGAACCTATTACAACAACCACACCACTGACAACGATATCAACAGTTTTAAACACTTCAGATAATCTATCTATCTTATCATCATCTCATTCACCGAGTCGTGCTGCTAGCAATTCATTTGGCAATAGAAATGATGAACGTAGCAGTTCTGTATTTTGGGATACACTTTTATCTGGAACTGAACCGAAAGATTGGTTTCTTGCGACCGTTTCTTTGTCTTGCCTATGCCTGTTACTCATAATTATACTTATTATAACATGGTTGTATATATGTCGCATTCGTAGACTGTATAGTCGAAGGCGTTGCCAAGGTACATGTCGTTTTGGATGTCGTTGTCCACCAGAGGTTGTTCGCCAAATGGCTGCAGAGGCAGCAGTGTGTGGCCCTTTAGGGCTACAGACGCATCAGCCATTTGTAAATGCAATGTCACCACATGGAAATGGTTCTGTCAGAAGTGGAAGTGGATATGGGAATACATTATATACAGGTGGGACATTGAATTCAGGTGGATGGGGTTCAAACGGCAACAAAATTGGTTCTCCACTTTATGTGGCTTTAAGTTCTGGGGCTGATAAAGCTACCTTATTAAGTGCTGGATGTAATACACCTAACTGCATGCTCGAGATGTCTGGAGGTTTACAACTAACTAACACAGCAGATGGAAGTAGTGGAACTTGGAATCAAACGAGTGGAAAATTTCGAAATCCTCGTCTTCGTCCAAAACGCTCAACACAGGACGCTTTAAGACGAAGTACAAGTGAAGGTTCTAGCGTTTCAGGTGTCACTGGTACCGCAGGTGCTAATAATAGTGCTACAGGAATAGAACAAGCTAATTTTGTCTATCGTCCTGGGCCAGTTGTTAGTTTTTCCGATGCAACAATTTCAAATATTCTACCTGCCATGATTGTAAGTAATACAAATGCAGGTCAACATGGAACTGAATCAACAGCAACCGCATATCTTCAAGCTTGTCCAAATGGATATAATTATTCAGATAGTGGTCGAGGCAGTGGTATCAGTCCGGGCTATTCACATTCACCGACACATATGAATAATCGAAAAGTTAAAGATGGAACATATTTCAATAATAGTAACAATGATAATGTTGTTAACGCTAATAATAATAACCCTAATAATATTCAAAACGGTTTCATTAATTCCAATAGTCCAATCAATATGGATGAAGTTGAAAGCAGATGTGATATGAGTTATTTAGGAAATCAAGCAAATAAAATTTTATCCAGTTTACAATCGGATCACTGTACGAATTTCAACGGTTTTAGTTCAGGTACTTTTAAATTTATCTGATATATATAATCATATTTATACTTATTTTGTGCAGTTTTATATATTCTGTTCAAAGATTACCATAATTGGACAAGAACCTACTTTTAATGTATACATTCACTATGGATATACTATAACTTCGGATTAGTTCCGTTAATAACCATGCTCCATGTTTTACAGTTGTTTTCCATCACACCCACAACTCAACTTTTATCTATTGCAAAGTTCATACATTTTTTAAGGCTTCCTAGACTATTTGTTTTAGTTGAGATTTTTTGATTGAGATCATGAATCGATTGATGTTAGACCACCATTGAAAACCTGTAAGCATTGGATGGCCGTTTCGTCCTAGTATGGGACTCCTCAGCACCGCACATCCACGATCACACATTCGGGTCTCGAACCCATGACCTTTGGTCTCTCACGCGAACACTTAACCTCTAGACCACTGAACCGGTATCCAACGGTGCTAATGTCTAACTTCAGTCAATCCACGAAATTACGTGACCATAATCCATTGTCTGAAGTAGATACCTGTCTCTACCTGACTTGTCTCAATCAAACACTTAACAATCCCCACAACCCCATACTAATATTTACCATATGCTCGCTAGTGACCAGCTTTATGAGAGAATACTCGAAGATCTAGTGAGAAGCCGTGACCAGTGGAGCTAATCTCTGTCTGGTAGAGACAGGTATCTACTTCAGACAATAGATGATGGTCGCATAGTTTCATGGATTGATTAAATTTCGATATTAACACCGTTGGATACTGGTTCAGTGTCCTAGGTTCGAGTCCCGTGTATGGGATCGTGGTTGTGCGTTGCTGAGGAGTCCCATACTAAGACGAGACGGCCGTCCAATGCTTACAGGTTTTCAATGGTGGTCTAACATCAATCGATCCTTGACCACAATCAAAAACCTAACAATCTCCACAACCTCATGCTGTTAGTTGAGAATCATTGTAAATTTATCTAATTCATATGGAACGTTTGTAGACATTAACTCAGAAGTTTTCAGTTACCGAATGTAAATATAAAGTTGTTACCACACTTTTTTTCAGGGTATTTGTAACTTCCGTAACAACTGATATAATCAACTTCCTAAGCTATTTCACCCATTAAGTATTGACACACACCATAACTGAGGCAATATATAACACATGAAACACATATATGCTAATAATATGGACTTTTTCACATCTAATTATTTTCCCATATCCATAAATACTAAAAACTCAAGCATATTTAACATAGCAACTTACAAATTCCCATTGAAGACAGTTTACTTTCTGGAGCAGTTACATGAATCAATTTAATTCTGTCGTCCAATTGAAAATGGAGGATTTTTGTTGTTGTGGCTTATTTAGATTTGTTCGTGCGATCGTATGCATATATGCCTATTAGCTTATGATTAATCCATTATGTATATTATCTAAGACAAATAATCACATTAGTCATACTGTTAACCTGTAACGATAAGCAATAATGATGTATTTATTTTTCCCAGTTTAAGCATCCAAGTATAGTCTCGTGTTCATTTGTCCATAGATGGTGGAATTGATAAGGCTTTTAGCCATAAAAAGTTTTTTTCCTTTTAATAATTAGATTACATGAAATAACTTTAACTATCCAAATGATTTATTACATAAAAAGATGACGATTAAAATTAAAATCTGCCAATGGTTTGCATATTAGTACAAATGTATATATGTGGCTAATGATTTGTATTCATTTTTGGATATCAATATATGAAACCACTTAAATGCTAGTGATGTTGTTCATCAAGAATCTTAAGGAAAATCGAATAAGGGATACCATGAAGCTGATTAGTGTCAGGCAGAATGAAACCTAGATCCGAAATTTATTCCTCATAGCTTTCAGAAACCTAATATCTTAGCTTACCCTAAATAAACATATACGTTAGTTGAGTTAATTTAAATGAATTAATTTGACATAAAATTTTTTTTGTATAATCTGACACGGACCAACTGTATCTGAATGAGTAAATAAATTTTCGTTTTTACAAGTAACATATTACAGTAATGCTCAATAAAAACACTTTCAGTCAAGAGAAAAAAATGAACGAAATCTATACAAATATAAGTTGATAGTTTAGGCTCATTTACAGGCATTTTGAATGACATTTGAGAGAAAGACTGAACTACTTAAAATATTAATGTATTTGTTCAGTGAAAAGTACACTCACAACAAAATTAGAAAGGAGCTTGGATTTGGTTTGTGAAAAAAAAATGTTTTGAAAAACTATCAGTATTTTCAAATCAAAAGAAGCTTATTGGAAGAAATTGAACTAAAACATTTATCTTCAAGAATGAAATTAGAATATTTTGAAAAACAACCTGATATTTATGAGTAGAATTAGTTATCAGTATAAACTGTGTTAGTAAGTCATTGATTAATGATAAACTATTAAGACATAGAGAATATTAAAAATTCATCTCACTTAAGTTTATGGCTTTCAAACAACGAAAACTATTGATATCTTAACAAACTGAACCACGTAACTGTGAACGTTTTTGATAAGCATGTTATTAAGACATTAACTACTGGTTTGTAACCATAGATTTCACTTTTCTGACCTTTATTAACTCTCCGTACATCACAGTTATCATATTATTCGGAGATGGTTTTCGTCATGGATTGACCTCAGATCAAGAATAGTTTATCGTTTCTCCATATCGTTAATCTGGGAAAGTTAGAAGTGTGAACCAATCAACTCGGCGATATGAAGGTAATGCGCCAGCTCCGTGACGAGAAAGATGTTGGTTCCAATATATGTAGGCTTGTGAGTGGAAATTCATTAGTAGCCGTAAACTGCAATCAAACACTTATTTAGTACTCTTTGGTTTTTGTTGGTTCTTTAGCTGAAGCCAGTTCATAAAAAAAAACAATGTCTTGACTGAACTAATCTAATTTAATTACAATTAATTAGGGGAGTTTTCTAGATTACCCAGGTTAGTACATATAATCGCGATGTCTTTAAAATCTAGTTGTCAACTATTTTTCATGAATTTGGGCTTATACTATATAAAGGGAGCTCTTTTTGAAACTGAATATAAATCCATTAATCTTGGTCTTATTTTTCCTACGCTACTGACTGTAAGAGTGAGCTTATTCGATTACGTAACTAGAGATAAAGTCAGACCATTGGTCACTTATGTTTATGTAATATCTATGATAAACTTCATTACAAACCGTAGCAAAACTTGATTTATAAGCAATGGAATATTGTTATGTTCAGAATAAAACCACTATCATGTCGTAAGTCAAGGGATAATAAAAGCATTATGCTAAAGAACGTCCAGTTGAACGAATCATTAGAGACATAGAAGTAAAGAACTGTTAAAACTTAAAATAAAAAAAGTTACCAGTGGAATTGACTTTTTTCAAATAGTCTTTTATGATAAGAAAGAAACTTTATCATTTACTTCTTGCATGAATAGTACCTATTTTGAATGAATATGGAGAATAAATGAATATTGATATTATGATGAACTCATTAGTCATTATTCTTAGTTATATTTTTCTTTTGAGAGTTCAAAACTATAGAAACGGATTTATTAATTCATGAAAACTTTGTTGTTCGATGCTGATGGGTCAGTTTAGATTCTTTTACCACAATAGTGATTTATTGATATAAATATATCATGCTATTTTAAATTATCTCAAATTGACTTGACCTTATCTTTATCGGATACCATTCAAATATGAATAACAAAATACAGTAAACAACATTCGATTAAATTTAATTAAATTTCTTAATACTATTAGTGTTCCACCTATACTTCACGAGATTACAGAAAATATTGTATTTACATTTTCTTCATTGACTGAATATGAAAGCTCTCATATATATATATATATATATATATATATATGTTGGGCATACAGTGAAATTGGTTAAATGGAGGTAAGTTATTTTTAGAAAAATGTAATCAGTTAAAGAATGCTTTTCACGATATACTGATCCGCTTTCGAGAACCATTTAGAGTTGAGGAGGGCTGAACGGATATCTGTTCAGCATTAATCATTCTGAACAATTTACAACGACGAGTTCATAGTAGATTGAACTCAGACCGTGACAGATAAAATTTAGTTGATATCGAAGACTTTGTAACTGGTTTGCTAGATAAAGCGCGATAATTTCATACGTATAACGATTATCAAAAATGACTTTGTGGTTGTTTCAATAAATAATAGCCCCATCGGAAGCAAAATAATCGATGGTTGTAAATCATATTGCATATCAAGTGGATAATTCACCATAGAATTTACAATAGTTCACTCTTTCTAGACATTTTGTTTGAATGTTCGTTTTATTCGAGTAAGGCAAATAAAAGCGTTCATAAACAAACCATCTTAATAAGATAGAGTGACGTCAACATAATGTACAATTCAACTCATAAATCCGCTGGTATTTACTGCTGTCTAATTTGTTTGACAAGTAAAAAAATGTAGTAGTCATACAGTTGAGAATTTTCACAATCACTTTAAAAATTATGCGAGTTATAATTTATATAAAATATTATAAACATATATTATCGACAATTTAACTCGATAATCATGAACATACGTTCGTTCATTTATCTTTGACCCATGCGTTTCACCCGAGAGTTGATGATCCCATCTCTCTATTCAAACAAACTCAGGCAAATCAGGGTTCAAACTTGTAGCTCAGTGGTTTTGTAGAGTAATACTTTGACCGTTAAACCATTCTTGTCTATTTACTACTAAGTATACTTTCATAATATGTCATAACTTTTTTTTAAAATGCATATTCAGATTCTCGCAACATAGCAATGCATCATTTAAATCGTGATTCTGAAGGGGATTTCTTAAATATCACACCACCATCAGGATTTTATGATTTTAATAACAATACCAGTAATAATAATAGTAACGATGTGATTGTAAATTCTGATTCTGGTTATTTGGCGAATTCATCTCGACAGCAATCACAAACTTTCCATAAAAATCGTTTGATAACTAGTCCAAATAGTTTTGGACGACAAATGTTCAATCAACTATCTCCATCAATTGTAGTACCACCGTCACAGTCATTTATTAATTCTTCTTGTATCAATGACAGTATTACAACTACATCTTCATTATATCCATCCAGTCAGACAGAATGGCATAATACTACTCTATCACTTGACAAGTTTAATTTACAAAATGGTGAAATGATTGGTAGTCTGGATGATGAATATATCAATGGTTATTCAACAGAAGTTAGTAATACAGGAACTGCATCGAGAATGCGCAAATATATTACACCTAATTATAATAATGGTAATGGAGTCGGTGGAACTAGACCGTTAGTACCACGACCACATTTCTCAGATTCTTTACATTCTGGAGTTAACTATCATCAAAATTCATATGCAAATGAAAGTAATTCTGTGACAATCAATAATAGATCTTTACATAATTCAAATGATACTACAACTCCTAATGGAATATTGTCATCATCATCAAAAATTGATCATTTATGTACTACACTTATATCAGAACGTATGTTGTAAATTGAATGTTTCTAGATGTGCTTAACAACAATTGATCATTAGGATTTCAGTTGTTTTCCAGTGATAATCTTTTATTTAAAAATGTATTTTATTTGTTTTGCAAAAAAGTAAACTTAAATGCTTTTAATTACATCCAAAATAAAAAGGCAGTCATTTTCTTGTACACAATTCGGGTTATCATTTTCATTCTTAAATATTGAACACTTTTAAATTGTTACAAAAACAAACAAACAAACAAACAAAGAAACCCTATTCAGTAGTAGGCTTAAATCTTTTGTTTTTCCTCAACCAACTGATAACGTTTATTATGATTCGGTTTTTTTATTTATAAAAATTGTATTAATGATGATTTTGATGGATAGTTGGGATGATGGAGATATTTAGGATATTTGGACAAAGTTTTTAGTTTATTCGGTTTTTTGGATTCGTGCGGTAAAGCTATATATATATATATATATATATATATATATATATATATATATATATATATATGTAATATTGACGCTAGATATCATTAATACTAAATGAACTTCATACTTTTGTACAGTTTGTGTTTATTGATTTCAATGAAGTTCATCTAACTTGGTTCTTCTTTATATATTACTTTATAATTATGTACATGAGTAAGTGATTCCCATTGACACACACACACACATGTACCTATATATGTATTATCCTATACAAGAATATATAATTTCTAAATGTTTATTTAGATTAACATTATATTAAATATATGTACTTTGAATACTTTTAGAGTATTCATTCAATGGACCTTTTTTTGCATTTATGAATGTTTAGTGTTTTCTTTTTGTTATTCTTCTTTTTCGAATGTGAAAGATGAATCAATTGCCGATTTATTATTTCATCATTGTTCTACTCAATTACCTATAAAATACACATAAAATTTGCAGGAAAACTAACCTGTACATTGATGAATAAAGTCAATATTATAAATAACTAGAAAATTCAATTTAAGATTACTCTTCTTTATTTAAAAGAGAAAGTAAAACAAGCATATATTAGAAAATCACTTTCTTTTTTTTCTTTTAAAGTTATCCTTGTTTATTTGTTCAATTTTTTTGCTATGGTCATTTTGTTTACTTGTGTAATTGATTTGTTTATTTAAAGAATCTTTTATGAAATGAATTGGCGAGCTTGTTCGGTTAGAATAAACTATTTCTGCGTTTGTTCGGTTTACTTGTCAAGAACAGTAAAACTTTGTTTGTGTATGTGCAGACTTGTGTGTCTATACTTTTATCACTGGTTACACTTTCAATTTTTCAAATATATATATATATATATATATATATATATCCAATATAATGACAACATTTGAGTATGTATATGGATGACTTAATTTAGATAAACAATAATTAGCTTTAATTGTTTTTGTTTTATTTACTTTTCTTGGCCGTTATTTATCAATGGTATTGGTCAAGATTTTCTTCTGATAACGAAATCATTTATAAAAAGTTGAACTGATGAATTTTAATGTTCAGTTATATTAGTAGTTAAGTCAGAATGGGGGTTTGTGGAGATTGTAGTATGATGAAGGATTGCACAAGATCATAGTTCGATTGAAGTTATACATAAGCATTGTCGGATGTCGGCTCAGTGTCTAGAGGTTGAACGTTCGTGCGCGAGACCTGAGGTCATGGGTTCGAGTCCCGTATGCGGGGTTGTGGGTGCGCACTGCTGAGGAGTCTTGTACTAGGACAAAACGGCTCCTCAATGCCTTCCGGTTTTTAATGTTGGTCTAGCTTAGATGGACTCATGAATTCAACTACCAAACTATCAGTAATTATTGATAGTTTCGAGTAGTGGTCTTCATTAATTATAAAAATTGTTTAGGATATTTAGGAGTGATGAAATATTCCCAGTATAATAACTACTATTTTTGACAGCATAACAATACGCATTAGTGGATCTTTTAGGATTGAATCCAATACTTTTTAACTTTTAAAATACCCTAGTTGGTTTTACAAACTATGTTAAACATAAGTTTTATAGTGTTGCAGTTAGCGATTATTCAGCAGAAATGAACAATATGAAAATAGCAATCATGAACTTCGTATAGACAATAAATACGTATATAGTGTATCGGTTGATAGAATTCGTAATTTTGATTTTTACTGGTTGTTGGATGAACAGTAATTCAATTCTTCAAATGACCTCTTATTAGCTATCCTGACAAAATTCAAGTTCCCTTTTTTATTATTTTTTAGAGACCCATCCTTCTCAAAGACACAATGATAAATAAGCTAGTTAACACAACTGATTTTACTTTTCATCATGAATGTTTAAAAAATAATGTGACAGAAATTGACATATTTTTTATCCCAGTTTCAAAATTTTAAAAAAACTAGGATTGCCTTAGAAATGGAATGTCACTGATTTAACGGCGTAAAACCATGGATGAGCTGAGGTGAAGACTCTTACTGTCTTGTGATTCTACAGCTACAGTTTCCTGATGAAAACCATCTTTAATGTTAACACGCCATGAAACAATCAGTGTGATAAACAGCAATGTTTGACTCAAACCCCCACGTAGCGCTGCTGGGTAGTGAGGGCAATCTTGTCAGCTAACATGGGCGGTCAGCAGAGATCGGGATAATCCGCCACTTCTATGCTGAACTTGGATTACTCGGAGTTCATTCTTTGAGGTCTTAAGAATCGTGACGGGCTAGTCGATATGTATGATTATGTGTATGAATCTCACGAGTCTCAACTAGTGTGGTTTATATGTGTAGGTGTATGTAAAGGGTTAGCATAAGAAACATAAGCTGAAAGAACGTCTGCCTTATATCTAGTAAAATCAGTGGCCCAAACCGCAAGGTCAAAGACATGATAGGAAATACAGGGTATAAGTGACTATTAATCCTCCCGGAGAGAGTGCTTGTAGATATGTTCATGCCATGAATTGCATGGATTAAAACATTTTTTCTAGCGATATGCATGCAGTGCATAAGAGACAGTCAGTAATAGCAAGTAGGTTCGAAGGGAACGGCGACTATTTACCCTCCCAGGTGGGTGAGTGTAGCTATGTGTATTTAAAGGAATGAATACGTAAAAAATTATGTGTTTCCGGTATGCACGTAGATTATACATTCCCTTGATGTGACGCCAGCACACCAGTACCCGAGGGTTCCAACGATTTCACCACGAAATCACGTCGACGAGGTGGGTTTGTGAACCTCCGAAAGCAGATCCTAATCCATATAGGTCAATCGGTTTCACCGAGTGATACCTCATCAACTTCAAGTGACTGCAACTCCGTGCTATCTAAACAACTGTACATTAATAACGGATTTAAATCACTTATAGATAGATTTTTAATGACAATCACCAAAGACATCAATGGGAAAATATGTTACATTACTTTCACGTGAACATCTCAACCGTCAACTGACCATATGAGTGCCTATTTACAGGTTAGGGCATACTTGGGTGCCTTTTTTATTTGATCCCTTTGTGATATCCTATGACTTCCATATATAGCAACATAGATTTATTCAACTGCATGCTCCACTGAATGAGCGGGACCTGAGTGCTTAGCTTCTGATAATCCTTACTTTCGTGTACCGGCATCACGTACAAACCTGGTCCGCAAGTATGTACAGTTAAAACACGTGTTCTACGAATAGAGCATATCATTATCATTTGCTTTTTACTCTGTAACAGGTTTTAGTACTTTTTATAAGCAGAAATACTCCATATCAAATCCAAAGCATCATATTATATTTTTGTTTTAGGCACTACTCAAAAATTAAACATGTCTTAAGCTTATTTAAAGTTACCTAAGTTATAACAAAATTTATATTTCATTAAATGTTTTAACTATATGTTAGTAATGAAGATATTCATTATGAAAAAGACCCCGAAAACGTTTGAAACTTCATTATTCAAATGTAAACATACAAGTATTTACTTTGTTTATATCAACACATTAAAAACAAACGGTGACAGTATCATATTCCATAACTAAATAATTGCCGATCGTTTGTCTTAGTACTTAGTGAATTTATTTTGAAAACTTAATTTAATTTTTTCTTTTTAAAAAAAATATGAATCATCAGACCATACCTAGAAAAGACTACCCCGGACTATATGAATTTTACACGTTTTATATTTGTAAGTAGACATTATGTATTGTACGGAAAATAATCATATATAACTGAGAAAAAAACAGGAAAATTCCCATATTGTGATTTAGAACAATATAAGTAAGCCAATAATGCTGTTTTTGACTAGATCCTCTTCAGGTTATACTGTAATATACGTTAAAGCCTGATGAGGATCTAATCGAAAACGGTATTGTTCGCTTATTTATGTTGAAAAACAACACAACTGATTTGATGTATTTGTACTAAACCATGTTTTATATCATATAAACATTGATTTAACATTAATTTCTTAAATATAATCTTTTATATTTCGATATTCATAATTTTAAGGCGATTGGATTACTACAATAGATGAATGTGCATCTTTAGAATCAATAAATTTGTTATGATTGATAAATTTATTCCTAATAGTCAAATCATTTATCGTTAAACAACTTCACTAAATTGATTTATCAGTTAAACAGTTTAATTTAAGAACTTGTAAAATGTAAGCTAAAACGGGACAATTCATACAGAACTGTTTAAATGTAAAAGAAAATCATAAATAAATAATATATTTGTAATATCTCAATGAGTTGAAAAATTAGATTTTCTGACGTTTAGTGATTCAGTGTAAGCCACTTCTTCTTCAGAGATGGTCCACCAGGGTGTTTGGTACCTGAGTGGTTGCGCCACGGGATTGGGCCGAGCTGTTCGGATTGTAACGTTGAAGCCTTTATAGTGTCTGGTTCTCCTGTAGGGCGGGATTGAGCTGTACTGCTTGGGCTAAGCCTGGGTAGTGTCTGGCTCTCCTATCCAGCGGGATTGAGCTGTACTGTTTGGGTTGCCTCGTGAAAGTCTGGATGGTGTCTGGTTCACCTGAAAACCAGTGCAAGATTACCCTCGCCCATAAGGGTATATTATATTATATAACTAACTTCTTCAGAGAATAAAAAACTAGATCAAATTATTAAGATCTGTTTTTTGATTGATCGCATAATATTCGCGTTGTTCCTTTGTACTATTTAAACTTGGATCAATTTTGATTGGGTTATTTATTCACTGAAAGAGTGGCCTACACTGAGTCACGAAACGTCGGGAAATTTAATTTTTCTACTCATTGAGATATTACAAATATATTATTTATTTTTAACAATCTACCCAATGCTCACTTTATTGGAAATTATCAAGTCTAACCTTGGTAATGAAACCTATAAAAGGATATTGCCATATATAATATTACAACAATAACTGTATTGTGTTAACAGAACTTATCTATCAAAATGAAGTAAGAGTTTTATGAAACCTAACTGATTTAAGCTGATTTATTCAAACTGTTATTATTGCAAGTGTAAAAGTTGGCAAATCAATCGGAAACTCAATTTTTAATTAAAATAAAAGGATTTTAGTTATTAATTAGATGAAATTACCAATTAGGTGATTGTCGAAGATAATCAGATAGTCTCGGATAGTGATTACTTTCTGGTTAGTACTCATTAACATAATGTGTTGAGAATCACTTTTAAATTAATCATATCCAGCTAGTCAGGCCTCAGATAAGTTGATTTATAACTTAAATATTTAATTTAATCGGCAGTATAATAGTATCATATCGAATTCGATGAATCAAACTATCAACCAATAGTTTACAGTAATCAATATCTTAATCTTTAACATAATGACCATATTGAAAATCTAGTTAAAGGAATATAATTAGTACGAAGACATAGATAAACATGGGGTCGATTATTTGTTAGATATTTGTATAAGCCTTTTTTATTATATATATCACCTAATTGTTGAGTACATAGGCACACTGTCATATATTTTAAAATATTATTATCTAACATCTTTCAGAAAAGAGTTTATTTAGAAAGATTTTCTGATCATTTTTAAATTTCATCTGATCATTTTTTGTCTACTGTAAAAGTAAATGTTTTCCAAACATACAATTAGAACAATTAAAGAAAATTAAAGAGAAATAGAAAGTCCTAGTGTTCGCTTTGTCAATAATGAATCTAGAATTTTTGTGCCTATCAACAGGATAAATATAAGAAAGAATTAAATTATCATATATAAAAATATGAAAGCTCAGAAAAACATTTTTAAAATGTTGAAATGATAAAGCAGTTTTGTTTAGGATAAACCAATGTCCTCACTCTGTTTTTACCGTCTACCGCTCCTTCTTTAATTGGTATTTCATG